ATGTATGTCTGAAAGTCATGCATGCGTACATGTTGTTATACATCTATGTATGTACGTATGTATGCATTTGTACGTGTTGATGTATGCATGCATGGATGAAGTTACATGGGCTGATGTATGTATGTGTTGATGTACACATGTAAGTATGTGTGCATGTACGTGTGTGTGTGTATCTACGTCTGTGTGGATGTATGCGTGTATGTACAGAAGTGGGTGTGTATCTAGCTGTGGATGATTGTAGATATACGTATGTGAATATGTGTGTGGGTATGTCTATGTGTACGTGTATCTGTTTGTGTGTATATTAAGGTGTATGTGTGTCTCTTCTTCGCGCACTGCAGCCGCTGCCCGGGTCCCTGGGTGTGGCCGCGACTCCGCCCCGGTTCCATTGCCAGGGATGCATCATCGGCCAGCCGCTCCGCAGCGGGCCCCGCCGCGTGAGCGCTCTAGTCTTTTCCCCCTCTCCCGCGGCCAGTCCTCCCCCCGTTTTCCATTTCTGCTGCCAGCAGTTCGCAATGCCGTCACCCAGCTTGCCCGAGCGCGCGTGTCGATTGCCTCTGCCGCGCTACGACAAAAAGAGTGTTTGTTTGTGTGTTTCTTGTTTTCCCCACCATCAATCCGCATGGCCGTGGCTGGATTCTCTCATCATGGCGCGTTCGATTCAGTTCGTTCGCAATCGGCACCTCCACCCGCGCCTGAGGCTCCTCCTGCGCCGCCGACGAAAGTGCGGTTGTTGTCCCATGGTCTTTCACCGCTGCATGGCTGGGCCCTGAAGCGCGTCGAACGAACAAAGTGTGACATTTGGGCCTTGGCGAGGGCAGACCAGGAGCGCAGTGCGCAAGCAGGCCGCAGCCTTCAGTAGCGCCTCGGGCGTGGTCAGTCCGGCCGCAAACCACGCCGCGCCCGATCTTCAAGCTACAAACATACTTCGCTCGCGTTGGACAATCCTTCTCCGAGCGCGCGCAGCCGCTGCCATTCCACTTGCCGCAGGACGCCGCGCCCTTCGGGTCGACGTTGATGACGCTGATACCCTCGAGCTTGTTCATGTGCGGGGCTCGGGGGCCTAGAGCCCGGGCTTCGTTCTGCGGGAAATTGCCTGCCGAGATCCGCGGTCCAGCGCGATTTGGCTCAGGCCATCTCGGGTCAGGCGCTCGTCGCCTGGCCGCGCCTTGCCGCCCAGCCTCAGAGGCGACGATAGGGGCGAATCGCCCAGGGGAGAGCAGTACATGTATTCAGGTGCGCCGATGATTTATGTTTTCGAAAAAGGCCCCCGGGCGAATACGTGTAATGCCCGCCCCTGGGCTATTCGCCCCCTATCGTCGCTGCCGATACCCGCTCAGACGGAGGCGATGGAGGTGGAGGCGCCCAGCGGGATGCAGGAGCCGCTCGCAAGTCCCGCAGACGGCGCTGGCGATAGTGCGGTGGTGCTGGCCGCCCGCAGGGCCGCCAAGGATCTGACAATCCAGATCGGGCTCGCATTTTTGGTGGTCGGCTTCGGGTGCGGCAACAACATATGCAGAAGACCAAAACGATGCAACACCTAATTATTGACGAACCGAACACAAACACCCATACCCACATGGGGGGGTCGGAGAGGGCTAAAGGGTGCGTGTTGTCGGATGGGGGCCCCCGCTCGACCGGGAGCGCTCCCTGGGGTCCGACAGCACGCGCCCATACCCACAGCCAGTCCTCCTCCCAACGACCCCCCCATGGGTGTGGGCGTGTGCTGTTCGCTCGTCAACTCTTGGATTAAGTCGGGCCTGCCCCCCTACAGGGGGATTTTCGACGAACAAGAAGAATTACCCCCAAAATTGGCCAAACATAGTCTGGGGACTATTTTTTGGGTATTTGACCTTTTCTGGGGTATGTTTGGGGTGTTTTTAATTTTTCGTCGAAAATCCCCTTGTAGGGAGGGGGACACGCCCGACATAACTCTTGGACGTCCGCGCGGACTTCTCGGGTCGGCCCCGTGTCCCCCCTCCCTGCGTTCCCAGCCCGCGCCCCCCAGCGCGCCCTCCGCGCGCGGGGGGGAGGGGGGAGGAGGAGGAGGAGGAGGAGGAGGAGGAGGAGAAGAAGGAGGAGGAGGACGAGGAGGAGGAGGGGAGGAGGAGAGGAGGAGGAGGATGGAGGAGGAGGAGGAGGAGAGGAGGAGGAGGAGAGGAGGAGGAGAGGAGGAGAGGAGGAGGGAGGAGGAGGAGGAGAGGAGGAGGAAGGAGAGGAGGAGGGAGAGGAGGAGGAGGAGGAGGAGGAGGAGGAGGAGGAGGAGGAGGAGGGGAGGAGGAGGAGGGAGAGGAGGAGGAGGAAGGAGGAGGAGGAGGAGGAGGAGGAGGAGGAGAGGAGGAGGAGGAGGAGGAGGAGGAGGAGGAGGAGAGGAGGAGGAGGAGAGGAGGAGGAGGGAGAGGAGGAGGAGAGGAGGAGGAGGAGGGAGGAGAGGAGGAGGAGGAGGAGAGGGAGGAGAAGGGGGTGGGTGGGGGGCGCGGGAGGGCGGCACGGTGCCCACCCGATAAATCCCCGCGCCGACCTGCGAAAGAGTACGCTTTATGATGTTCCAGCCTGCGTTGGCCTTGGGCACCAGAAAGACGTTCGAGCACCAGAAAAGTACCCCCCAAACTTGAGAGTTTTCACGTATCGGACCCTGGGAGGCACTCGCCTCGACACTGTTTCGACGTTTTTTTCGACACTCTTTCGACACTTTTCCGGGTGCTCGAAACTATTGGGCTGGCCTCCGGCCAGTGCCGCCGATCCGCGGGGGGTGAGACTTGGGAACGTCTTGGAGGTTTCTGGAACTGTCTTCGGGGCATCTTGGGTGGTTCGAGCGATGTTTCGGCGATTCGGGGCTTTCTTGCATTGTCCAGGGGGCCTCTGGGGTCTCTCTTGGCTTCCTCTTGGGCTGTCTTGGGCGGTCGGGGCTCCGGAAGTGGAGTTTTCTATACCCCCCTGTCCCCGTACCGAAAAACGTCGGAAATGACGTCGGAAATATCCCCGTGTACCGAAAAACATGGGAAATGACGTCGGAAATAACGTGCCCCTCCCCCCCCTGCAGAGCGAAGCTTGAGAGAGCTGAAGTCCACGCTCTCAGAAACTCACACGCCGGATCGGCGGATTTCCGGGATGTGGTCCCTAAATGCGATGGGAACAACATAAGATTACGCGCATGTTCTCCGTATGGTCTTTTGAAGTCGAAGCAGATTGCGGCGAAGCCTCTGAACCGGTACACCTCCGTGCTGTCGCTGGCGACCGCGGTCGCCTACGTGCCGCTGTACGGCGCCGTGCTGGGGGGCCTGCTGCGGGCGGGCTCCGTGCCGCGCCACCAGCTCGACTTCGTGTGGCGGCGAGGCGCGAAGGGCTTCAGGTACGTGCTCCTCTTCTCGAGGGAGAAAAAGCTCCACGAACGAAACTTTCGGAGGTCCGCGCGGAGTTTTGGGGTCGGCGCTGGGCGCTCCCCGGCAGCGGCGCCTGCATGCCGCGCGCCGCGCGCCGAGGAGGGGAGGCCCAGCGCCGATATCCGAGAAGTCCGCGCACGGTTCTCCGAGAGGTTTCGTGTCTGTGCCGCTGTTTGCTGCCTCTGGCTTCGCGCTGGCGGCGCTGGGGGACACGCTCGGCGACGTGATCGGCATGATCTGCACCCCCTACGTGGCCGGGCCCGTGCACTCGCTGCTGTCGAACTGCACGCCGGTGTTCATCGCGCTGCTGGCCTTCTGCGTGCTGCGGCAGAGGTACTCCCTGCTGCAGGTCCTGAGCCTGGGCGGCGTCGTCGTGGCCGTGGTGCTGGGCGTGCTGCCAAGCTTTTCGCACAGCAGCGAGATGGCAAAGGCGACGCAGCCATTCTTTGCGCTGGTGCTCGCAGCCTCCTGCATCTTCAACGCCGTCTCCTTCGTCGTGAAGGAGCTCGTCTTCAAGAGCTATGCGGGCTGGCTCGATCGGGAAGGCACCGAGAGCAGCAGGAGCCTGCACGTCTTTGTCGTGAATTTCCACGCGGCCCTGTTCCAGCTGCCGTTCACCCTCCTGACGGTGCCCTTCAACGTGCTGCTCGGGCAGACCGACGGGGAGAGCATCTGGCAGTACATGGGGGAGGCCCTGACGTGCGTCTTCGGCTCGAGCCCAGCGTCCTGCGGCCCAAAGGCAGTCCACGCGGAGGACGCTGCGGCGAGCGTGATCGTGTACGTTGTCTTCAACGTCCTGTGGAACATCTCGATCCTGATCTCGGTGAAGCATTCTGGGGCGCTCGCCACGTTCATATCACTCAAGGCGATCTTCCCCGTCTCGACGGTTCTTTACGTTGCACTTTCGGGGAGCCTCGTCTGTCCCCGAAATTGGCGCCTCTCCTCGTGCCCGCTGCAGACTCGACTCGGATTCGGCGTGGTCTCGACGCGGACTCCACGAGTCCGTCATGGGTTCGACGCGTTATTTGACGCAGATCGGGGCGCGACGGGGCATACGAGAGGTCCCCCGACGATGCAACATGAGGTTCTCTTCGCCTGCGTCGATTGGCCCCTGCTCGGGCGGACCCCCCTCAGCTGGCTCGTCTGGGTGTCCCTGGGCCTCATGCTGCCCTGCATCGTGCTCTACCAGCTCGCCTCGAGCTGGCAGCGCCGCCGCGCGGAGGCGCACCCGTCCGCGGCCACCTGCTGCTGGCCCCTGCGCGGCCGCAGCTCCTGAGAGGCGGAGGCCGGTGGGCCAGTGGGCGGCTGGTGCCCGGGCACCGTGGAGCCTCCGCGCTCATCTGTCATCAGGAAGGAGACACACACACGCACACGCACACACACACGCGCGCACACACACACACGCACACACACACACACGCACACACACGCACACACACACACACGCATACACACACACACGCACACGCACACACGCACACGCCCACACGCCCACACACGCACACACGCACACACGCACACACGCACACACGCACACACGCACACACGCACACACGCACACACGCACACACACACACACACACACACACACACGCACACACACGCACACACGCACACACACACACACACACACCCGTAGCCATTTTGGCTCAAGATGATTTGTTCCACAGGGGAACGAGTGGATACCGCTAGTCCGCGGCCAGTGCCAGGGCTTCTCCGCCCGACAGTTTTGTTTCGTGTGTTGGCAAGGGGTAGGCTGTGCGCTGCCCACTCGCCATGTCCAGTGCCTCGCAGAGGGCCAGGTCTGAGCCGCGGGCCAAGGGCGGCGGCGGCAAGGGCAAGAGCAAAGGAGTTGGCAAGGCAGGCAAGACCAACGCGAGCGGAGCCAACCCCCTGGACTACGTCCGCTGTGCGAACTGCTCGTACAAGTGGAACTTCAAGGCCAGGGTGGAGTGCTACAACTGCAAGAAGCCGCTCAAGCCTGCCGCAGTGGACGAGCCTCCGCAGCTACGGGCATCGGCGTGGTCATTCGTGCGCGAGCCGTGGGTGCGGCACTCTGACGACTGGTTCGGGTACGAGGCACCGCCACCGCAGCCCGCCCCGCCGTCGGATGCAGAGTGCCTCGCGGCGTTGGCGGCCAGGCATCCCGAGCACGGCCAGCAGCTCGAGGCCATCAAGATGGCAGTCGCACCACCGCCCGTTGCGGCCACGGTGTTGCCAGATGTGGCCCTCAACCGCGCCCAGGCCAAGCAACGGCGGGCTCAAGCCGCCTTCCTCTCCAAGTCCCAGCAGGTCCACGACGCCGAGCAGTGGCTCCAGGCCTGCCGCGAGGAGGAGGTGCGTGCTGGTGAGCTCGTCCTGGCGTGCAACGTGGAGGTGGAGGAGGCCTACAAGGCAGCAGCGCCCAAGGGCGCCCAGGTGCAGGCGCAGGAGGCGCGGGAGCCTGGCGCCAAGACTCAGCCTGCCGTGGGCCTCAACGTCACGGCGCTTTTGGCGGAAGACTTCCAGGTCGAGGCAGGCGACGCCTTCAGGCTGGACGACCCCGACCTGGACATCACCGACACGGATCGCGAGGAGTTCAACAAGTCCCTGGAAGGCTTCGTCGAGCAAGTCAAGCAGCACGTGCGCACCACCTTCGGTGAGGCCAAGACGCAGCTGGAGCAGAGGCGCAGCGAGATCGACGCCAAGCACCAGCAGCTGCTGGCCAGGCGCAAGCGGCCTCGCACCGAGGCGGCAGGAGCAGCAGACCAGACGCCAGCCCAGGCGCCAGCCGCAGGCCCTGCGGCAGCAGGCCCCGCGGAGGCCCCAGCGGCCGCCGCGGCCCCAGCCCAGGCCCCCACCCCTGGGCAGCCTGAGGCCCCTGCTCGGCCTCCTGTTGCTCACCCTCCAGAGCCACCCAGCCTCCGCGGCCCCGATGGCGCAGCCAAGTTGGCTCAGCTCAGGCGGGACTTGGAAGCAGCAGCCGCCGTTCCAGCTGGGGACGCAGATGCGTAAGGCCCAGTCCTGGGGACCTGATGCGCCGCCAGAGGCCAAGCCACAAGAGCCCAGACTCGTCCGCCTGGGCAGGCGGGAGCGGGCCATCCTGGCCACGCGTATGCGCCGCATGGCTCGGCACTGGCGCCCTACCCCGTCGCTGGGGACCGCGGCTCAGGACCGCAGGCACTGGGACTCCTACTGCGTGCCGTACATCTTCCACCAGCTGGGCTCTGGGGAGTGAGTACACAGCCATGCTGGACGACCTGGCAGCCACCACGGGCAGCGGATCCCGAATTGCCGAGCGCATGAGGATTGCACGGGAGTTGGGTGACGAAGCCTGGAACCGTGGAGGGGATGCCAGGCGCCTCCAGCGGCAGTGGTTGGAGCATCTGCAAGTGGCTAATCAGGATGCTTTCGAGCGTGAGGCGGCTCAGCAGGACCGCGCCCAGTCAGCCGCGGAGCGGTGGTCCGACCGCCAGTCCCAGGCGACGTCGGGAACGCAGGCCCCCACCGTCTACTTCGACGACCGCATCCACTGCTGGAGGTTGTGCGCCGCGAAGGTGCTGGAGGCCGACCTCGGCCCATCCACCTCGACTGGGACCTCAGAGGAGCCGCTGTGTTGCTCTGCCTCGCCCGTTGAATGCACCGAGCTCACTCCCACCCCAGCCGCGTGCAACCTCACGGACGAGCACCGAGGAACTGCCCCATGTATTTCAGCTGGTGGTCTCTCTGCCGTCCGAGGCAGCCCAGATCAGCTTGCGTCAGTTGGTGGTTTCTCTGGCTCAGCTGTTTCAACTGGCGATGGTCTCTCGGCCGCCGATGGTGGCACCCAGGCGCAGCTTATTTCAGTCAGTGGTGTTTCGGGCTCTACAGTTTCCACGGATGGTGGTTTCTTGGCCGCTGGAGGCACTCAGGTGCAACTTACGTCAGGCCGTGGCCCCTCTGGCTCAGATGCCTCAACTGTAGATGGTTTCTCTGTCGCCGTTGGAGGCACTCAGGAGCAGCTTACGCCAGTTGGTGGTTGCTCGGGCTTTGCTGCTCCCACAGGCTGGCCTTTCTTGGCCGCTGGAGGCCCTCAGGCGCAATTTACGTCAGATGGTGGTTTCTCGGACCCAGTTGTTACAGCAGGTGTTGGTGGCTCTGCCCACGGAGGCAGTCAGGCGTTGCTTACGTCAGTTTTTGTTTCTGCAGGCTCAGCTGTCTCATCTGGGGAAAGCCACTGCGGCCCTGGGCAGCCTAACATCATCGAGATGGCCCATGAGACTGTGGCACACCCTACCGAGGGCGGGGACGCCAGTGTCGGCAGTGTTGGCGGCCAGTCCACCTGCAGCGGGACTTCGGCAAAGCCCCAGTGCGACGTCGCCAAGTATCGACCCTCAGCAGCAGGAGCCCGCAGAGGCAAGCGTCGACAGCGGAGCCACAGGCGCTTCACCTTCCACACCGTCAATGCCAGCCTCAGCTGGGGCAACGTTGTGGGCTACCTCCACGGCGCGGCACGCCAGCAGCTCACCGAGGGCAAAATTCCGATCATCGGTTTCCAGGAGCACGGCAAGCGGCGTTTATGGGCCGAAGAGAGCGCACGGGCCTTGCTGCCCTTGGGCTGGAGGGCCCTGCCCACGCCAGCGACGGACGGCCCGAATGGAGGGGCCTCGGCGGGCGTCTTGCTGGCGATACCTGCCTGCGTCGGCGTCGCTCTTGCATCTGGACAGCGACACTGGGACATATCTCCCCCAGGTTGTGCAGGCAGGCTCCTGATGGCCACCCTCGAGGCCAAGGGCATCGGCAAGTTACTGGTTTTCTGTGCGTATTGCTTCACTGGTCGGAAGTTGGCGTCTGTGGGCAATTCAGCTCTCCTGTCAGTTATCACGGGGTGGGCAGTCCAGCTCCAGCTGCCCTGGATCGTCATCGCGGACTGGGAGAATCTACCTGACGCTTTGGAGCGTTCGCCGTGGAACAACCAGCTCAGAGGCCGCGTCGTAGCGTGGCAAGGGGAAGGGGGCACGCACGGTGAGCGCGTGATCGATTATTTCTGGATGCACTCCAGTTTGGCTGCCAATATTTCCCCAGCCCGCATTGACGACGACGCGGTCTACCACCCTCATAGAGCCACATGGGTCGAGTTTCAGCAGCCTTGGTCGGCCTTTGCCTACACCAAGCTCATCCGACCCCACAAGTTCCCGATCCCAGGAGTCAAGCCGAGGCACTTCGATCTCTCGTGCCCAGACGTGCCTGCAGGTTTCGACCCCGATGCGGTGCCTACCCAGGAGCTCTTGGACGACACCTGGGAGGCTTTCTGCCACGCCGCCGAGGAGGAGCTGATCCAGAAGGTGGGTTTGGACCCCAGCAGCCGGCAAGCCGATCAATGCCGAGGGCGTGGGGGACCACCGCGCTTCAGGAAGTGTCCGTTGCTCCCGACCCACACCGAGGCCATCGCTTCGTACGGGGAGGCCAAGCGTTGGAGGTGGTTTGCCAACGAGTTGGCTTGGCTGGGCATCATTGAAGTAAAGCTTTTCAGCTACACGGGCGCTTCCGACCTGGTCCTCACCACGTTGCACCAGCAGCGGCACGCCTCCATCCGCAAGTTGCGTGACCGCTTCAGGCACCACATGCTGTTAGAAGGCGTGGCTGAGCTGCAGGAGTTCTTCGAGGTTTTCACGTCTCGGGACCGCGGCCATGAAGGCTTGCAGGAGCTCTCGGCTTGGCGCCTCAGCTGCAGTCAGTATGCCTCGTACTTGGAGTGGCAGATCGGCAAGGAACGACGATATTCCTTCAAGCAGCGGTTGGAGGACGACTTCCCAGGCTCGCAGGGGCTCCTCCACAGGGTCACCAAGTGGCGCCAGGCTTGGCAGGCTCCCAAGGGCAGCATCTCCAAGAAGCTGCTCCCAGCGGCGCCTCAGGCCGCCGTGGACCAGGAGTTGCACGACTGGTCGAAGGTCTGGACCACTGGCTCAGGTTTCCCCAAGCCGTGGAGGGGCCTCCAGCAAGTCGCCGTCACGCCGCCCAGCCCTCACCACCTGCGCGGTTTGGCCCAGCGTTTCAGGGCCAAGACGGGGATTGGCGTGGACGGATGGCAACCCAAGCTTTGGGCCTACCCCACGGACGGCACGCTCTCGGTGCTCGCGTCATTGCTGGCCTGGTGCCAACAACTGGGGCGGTGGCCGTCCCAGGTCCACCTCCTGCTCGTTTTCATCATCGGGAAGCTCGATGGAGGGGGCCGACCCATCATTCTTCTACCTGGCCCTTGCCGAATCTGGGAGGCGTGGCAGCTGCCCACCATCAGGAGCTGGCTGGCGGCGCACCCCAGGAGCTACGACTACACGGCGGCGGGCCAATCATCGGAGCGCGCGCTGTGGAAAGCTTTGTTGGACGACGAGCTCGTGTTGGGCACAGGCATACGTGCGGCCACGATGCTGGCGGACCTCGCCAAGTGTTATGAGAAGGTTCCGCATGAGCGTATGTGGTGGCTAGCAGCTTGGTGGGACGGCCCGCTGGAGGTGGTCGCGCTCGCCCTGGCAAGTTTCGCCTTTGGCCGTGCCATTCGTCTCGGGGAGGCCTGCTCGGCGGAGGTCCTGTCCTCCACAGCGCTCCCAGCGGGCAGCCGTTTCGCGCCCACCTTCCTGAGGTTCTACCTCACGCTGTGCTTAGACGACCTGCTGGGGGTTTTCCGCCTCACGATCTACTTGTACGTTGATGACATCGCCCTGCGGGTCATGTCCACCGAGGCGCGCGTCTTGCACATGCTGCCGCAGGCCACGCGCTTGCTGTTTTGGATGCTGGAGTCCTTCTTGGGCCTGGAGGTAGCCCGAGCGCGGGACGGGGCGAGAGGCAAGTGCTCTTTCCTGCAAACGGCCACTCCGTCTTCAGGCTTGACGCAGGCCATGGCCGTCCTGGGAGTACCGCCCAGCACCTCCGAGCGGTGGCTCGGCATCGACTACGGTCCCAGCGTCAAGACAGAGAACCAGTCAGCCCCAGTCAGACACGCGCGGCTCAAGATAGCCAAGCAGCGTTGGCCTAAGATCCGCGGCCTTCCTCGTGCACGCGGGGGCAAGCTCAAGATGGTCGTGCGGCAGGGCCTCGGAGCCTCGGTCGCCTACGGCGCCCGTGTCCGCGGCACGCCCAGGCCCATCGTGCGTTTCATCCAGCAGAAGGATCGGGCCGTCCGCAGGGGCGCCACAGCTTTTACCTCCCGAGTCTTGCACGACGGCCTCGACCCCAGTTGCGCCGACACCCTCGTTCTGGCACCGCTGCTGGCTTGGGCGAGGGAAGCTTGGGACCACCCAGAGGGGCGGCGTGCGCAGGCCACAGCATGGGCCCGAGTGCAGCAACAGCTCGCGCTGTACATGGACGCCGACGCTCAGGAGTTGTGGTCAGTGGTGCGCGGCCCAGCGGGGGCCACCTCAGTCACAGTTCGAGCCCATGGTTGGAGCATGCCGTCAGCCTTCGAGATTGTCTTGCCTCCACGTGGCGGGGCGCTCCAAGGAGGGGGCGTCCATCTTGATCTACTGCAGATTTGCCCCAAGTCGGTCGAGGCCGCCGTGCTTTTGGCCGCCCGTTCCAGAGCCCTGTACCAGTGGGCGGCGGCTCAGCCCGAGCGGGCTGCGCTCCTGCCAGCGCCGTGGCTCACCCCAGCGAGGCAGTTGGTCAAGCGGCGCAAGCAGGACGGGTGGCTGCAACACCATGCCGACGCGGTCAAGAAGGCGGTGTTGGGCGGTTTCCCTTCGCAGGAGGCCCTTTTTCTCTTCGGGCCAGGCGGACACTCCGTATTGCCAGCTTTGCGACGACACGACCTGCTTCGGCACCCACCAGCACTATTACTGGCGGTGCGGCAGCCCGACGTGTGCTACGGTGAGGGAGCAGCTGACGGCCCACGACGCGTCACCTACCTTCAGAGACGTCGGCCACCTGGGCGTGTCGGCCTCCTCGTCGGAAGCCTCAAGATGGTTGTGGGAGCGGGGTTTGCGGCGAACCCCATGTTACGGCTTGGCTTGGAGTCTACCGTCGCAGCGCACCCATTGGATCGTCAATGGCGCGGCCCCCGAGCTCACCGATGTGCTGGTTTCGGACGGATCAGTCAAAGGCTTGGATGACCTCAGGCACGGCGGCTGGGCGGCTTTGCAGTGCACAGCGGAGGCCGACGACGTGGTGCAGGGCCTGTACGGCCCACTGCCCTTTCCCGACCCCAGCTCGGTCCTGGCAGAGTTGTGGGGTCTCCTCCACGCCCTCAGGCATTCGGTCTTCATCACGGCCATCATCATTGACAATGCTCAGGTGGTCCAAGGCTTGGCTCGTGGCAGGGCATGGTGTTGTTCAGCGGCCAGGCCCTATGCGCACGTCTGGCTCGAGATCTGGGATCGCCTGGATGACATGGACATCCTTCCTGGCAGAGAGTTGTCGGTCATCAAAGTCGCCTCGCACATATCGCAGGCCAAACGCCTAGAGCTGCCAGAGGAGGTCCAGATTCACATGAGGCACAATGACTTAGCCGACGAATGGGCCAAGCAAGGAGCAGACCTCAGCGCGCCGCCAGAGTGGGCCACGTTGCAGGTCAAGCAGGAGCTCAAGGCCACCAAGCGCGTGCTCGAGTACATCGGGCACTTCAGGGTCCTCCTCGACGGGGTCAAGTTGGCGGAGCCTAGGCCCAAACGACAGCAGGGCCAAGAGGCCAACATTCCTCAGGCTGCACGACCCCAGGCTGGCCCCAGGCACCCGCACGTTCTGGAAGTGTGCCGCGGTTATTCCAAGTGCACCAACTGCGGCAAGGTTGCCCGCACTCGCCTCGCGGCCTTTCAGTTGCAGGAGTGCCGTGGTCGTCTCCAAGGGCTCCAGGGCAAGTTAGTCAAGAGTGCGGCCAAGAGAGGCAGTGTGGCGGTGCCTCTTCTCGTGGCGGCAGGCGCCGCCGCTCGGCCTGTGCGACAGCGAGCAGACCATGGAGATCAGGGTGAGCCTCGAGTAGAGCCCGACCCTGCGCCTGCCTCCCAGCTGGGCCCCGACCCGCTGTGGGCTCCTGTCGCAGCAGCCCGCGCGGCTCTTGGCAGGATGGAGCGGATACCTGACGGCCCTGTGTGCATGGGAACCCCGCCAAGCCAGCCACACATCACGCCCGAACAGCAGCATGTCCGTTCCATCATGGACGATGCCATCATCTGGGCGTCTTTCTGGATCGATCGTTTCGACGTGGCAGGCTTCACCAACGAGTGGGACTACCGTACGTGGTGTTCGGAATATCTTGAAAGGTTTCTCAGCTCGGCGGCGTGGGCACCAGTTCGAGAGCATCTTCTACGTAGCAACCCTGGCCGCACTCTCGGGCAGGTCGTCGACGACCTATGCGCCACCTCTTGGACGCGTGCCGAACCAGCCCGTCAGGCTCAGTTCGCCAGGGTACGGCCTGACTCGGGTTTGACAGCCAGGCAGCGCCGTCGGCTGCTTCGGCATCACTTCGATGTGTTGAACCAGGTCAGGGGGCGTTTCAGGGATCTCCTTGGAGATCGTGCCCCGCCTGAGACGGCCTCCTGGCACCAGTGGGTCTTCGAGCCCCTCTCCTCGGATGACGACCAAGGAGGTGATGCGGCAGGCCGCGCCGCCGAGGAAGCCCATGGCTACGACGATACCGACGAGTTCGCGGCCCTCAGCGCGCACAGCGACCTCGAGGTGGTGGAGGCAGACGGCAAGGCCACGCAGGCCACAGGCACCCAGGCGTCAGAGCGCGAGTCGTCGCTCAATCCCGACCTCGCCCCCAGGGCACTCCAGCAACAGGAGGAGGGAGCTCCAGCGGGAGGGGCGAGGCGGGAGGGTGTTTTGCGGATCCGCAGTGCGGCAGCCACTTGTTCCCAGGACGTGGACGACGGTGCTACGGCTGGCGCTGGGGCAGCTCCTGTTCCCACGGTGCCGCCTGCTGCTCAACCCGCTGGCGAGCCTGGAGCTGATCAGGGCGAGTTGGCCAGCTCCCTGGACGTGGACGGCAAGGCTGCCACCCAGGCAGCGGCCGCTGTGTGCTCCGCCCCCTTGGCGGCACACCAAGCTCGTGCTGGCCAGGGCAGCCTGAAACACGGTGGTAAGGCCCCAAGGACTGGTTCCTCAGCATCCTCGGCGGCGGCGGCGGGCTCTGGCCAGGGCGGCCTGGCACCGCTGGCGGGGTCCCCGCCGCCCTCGGCTGGGGCTGCGGCGGCCTCGGAGCCAGAGCGGGGTGCGCGCGGGCGGGCGGCCTCTGCCCAGCCCGCCAGGAGTGGCCAGGCGCTGCCTGCGACGGCCAGAGCCGCTTCATCGGAGCCTCGGCCACATACGGTCGAGATCATTGGCAACTTCGTGGTCTGCGTCGTGTGCGGTTCCTACTACAGCTCGGTGGCCAGGAACCTCGGCGGGCCGTGCAGGCGGCTGGACCCGCGCGACCCAGGCGACAAGGAGCGCCTCAGGCGCATTCGCCGCATCCAGCGCGGCCAGGACCCAAAGACTGGAAGGGATCTGAGTTGAGGCCGTTGTGCTCGTTCAATGATCTGTCTGGTCTCAGTGCGTGCGGCCCCCCTTGGCGCGGTGTTATCCGTGAGCTGAGGGGCCTGGGCGGGGCTGCCGCCCCGCTCGGGGCGCTCGGGCCTGCTTCCCCGCGTTGCGGGTGGCCTGGGCGCGGCGCGTTTCTCGCTGCGTTTCGGCCCCCTTGGCAGCAGGCTGAGGGGCCTAGGGTGGGGCGCGGCCTCGAGAGGGCCACGGCGCCGCCGCCCTGGGGAGCGCGCGGGGGCGCTGCCCGCGGCTCGGCTCCTTTCGGGCTCGGCAGGCGACGGACGTCGCTCGAGGGCCCAGCGCGCGGGCCTGGCGAGGTGCAGACGCCCCAGGCCGCCGACGCACCAAAGCACCAAACACACACACACACACACACACACACACACACACACACACACACACACACACACACACACACACACACACACACACACACACACACACACACACACACACACACACACACACACGCACGCACGCACGCACGCACGCACGCACGCACGCACGCACGCACGCACGCACGCACGCACGCACGCACAGGCACACAGGCACACACGCACACACGCACACACGCACACAGAAACAAATCCTCGTCGATCCCCAGTAAAACACGGGGAACTAGGGGAAGTGTGGCCGAAGACACAACAAATTGAGAACATATGGGAGAGTATGGGGAATCTTGGGGGAAGTCCTGTGTGCATTCGTCTCTGTGCCTCCTGGGGCCCCCTTCCACCTGGCCCGAGCGCCCGCGCGGGAGGGTCGCCGCGCCTGGCGTCCGACGTCGCCGGCCGCGCAGCCGAGGAAGGAGGGGGGGGCCCTCCTCCTCCTCCTCCTCCTCCTCCTCCTCTTCCTCCTCCTCCTCCTCCTCCTCCTCCTCCTCCTCTCAAGCCTTTTCGGCCCTGGCAATTTCCCCAGGGCTGTCCCAGGACCTCCACGAGGTGCTTGAGGGACTTCCGTGCCCCTGTTCTTTCCAGTTCAGGTTTTACGGTTGACTAACGCTGGGACATAATGGGGCGCCACGTGCGCCATTCCCCCGCAGCCGAGGCAGCGCCGTGGCGCCAAGTGGTGGGATCTACTCGCCTTTGGAGCAGATGCAAAGGTTGCAACGCCTGCGAGTACAACGACCGCCTCTGCCCCACCCACCCTGCCTGCCCCAGGTGCCATCGGCCCATGAAGTTACACCGCTCTCGCTCGCGCAGCCCCAGCGTCGTCCGCTTCGGGCCCGAGGAGGTCATCGAGATCCCCGACCAGGCCGCGAACACCGAGGGCGGAGTCCAGGCGGACGCCAAGGCACGCACATCTTCCAACGCCGAGCTGGCTGCCCACCTGCGGCAGGCCATGGCCATCGCCACCGACCCTGCCACGCAGGCGGTCCTCAACGCCCAGGTGCAGCGGCTGGGCGCCCCCGAGACCGTCGTCATCAAGGACAGCGAGGTCGAGTCGATGAGGAAAGCCGACGGCGCCTGGAGAGCGGCTACGAACCATCACAACCAGGTCGTCAGCAACGTCATCAGGCTCCGCAGGGCGCTCGAGGCGGCCGAGTGTAAGGAGCAAGCCGCAGCGCTCGAGGTCGCCCGCACGGAGCAGGCCAAGAGGCGCGCGGCTGAGGCCCTCGCCAGGGCCGAGGGAGTCGGCCGCTGCGATCCGACCTCCGATGGCGTCCAGGGCGACGGCCAGCAGGAGCCCTTCACCGTCACCTGGGATCCCGACCTATTCAAGCAGATCGACGAGCTCGACTTCACCGAAGGTGAGCAGGCCGAGCTGGACGCCGTCAGGAAAGGGCTGGAGGACCTCCAGCAACAGTTCGCTACCAAGGGGCCGCAGGTCACGAGCCTGATCGACAGGGCCCGCAAGGTCCGCAGCGCTCAGGAGGCCAGGTACGCCAAGAAGCGCAAAGGGGCCGACGGCCAGACCAACGGCGGCACGCCAGGGCAGGCTGACGAGGCAGCCACCCCGCCGCGCGGCTCCAGTGGCGCGGCTGGCGCCGAGGTCGGCTCAGTCGACGGCAGCACGAGCCCCAACCTCGCCGAGGCCGCACCTACCAAGGACGGCGACCAGCGGCTGGCTGCCGAGGCCGCCAAGCTCTCGGCGGCTCGTTTCGCGGCCCAGGCCGCAGCCGCCGACGCCAGCCGACCAGGAAGAGCTGCTGCAGAGTCTGCCGCCAAGGCCTGCGCCAAGGGCAAGTGCAGACGCAACAGCCGAGCTCACTCCGAGTGACTAGGCACCGCAGGGTCACCGCCAGCTGTGTGCACGGTGAGCGCCCCTGCCGCTCATGACGCCGGCGCAGCTACTACCAGTACAAGCACATCCTCTACATTGTTCTTTGGCAACATCACATGTGCTGGCCAGAAGGCGTTCGACTGGGTCGAGACCTCTACGGACGACTTCGTGGCATTTGTCGAGACGCACATCAGTGACAGCAGTGTTGGCAAGTGGAAGGCACGATATCGGGATATCAATCGTCGCCTCTTCGCCAATCCTGCGAGACCTCCTCCGGTTGATCAGGAAGTAGGGAGACTACTTCTAACAGTGAATCTACAGTCGCTCCTGAGCATGCCAATGAAGGAGGAGAGTGGTTTCTTCCCAGAGGCCACCTCCGTGCCCATCCTCTTTTAGAGGCCATCCAGACCAAAGGGCTCCAGTGTCTTCCCACCTCCAGCAGCCTCGACGGTTTCCCCCCTGTTGTGATTCACTTCAAGGGGTACTCCATTGTGGCTGTCTTCTTTTACGCGTTTTGCAGCATAGGCCTGAGAGGGCCCAACGTCGCCCGCTTCAGACGTCTTGGGAGCCTCCTCAGGTCCCTCCAGCTACCCTGGTTTGTCGTCGGGGACTGGAACCTCAGCCCTGAAGCTCTCAGTAGGACTGGCTTTCTTCAGCAGGTCCAAGGGGAGATCCTATGTGCACCTGTCGAATACACGTACGACCCTGGCGGCGGACGTAAGCCATCGGATTTGGACTACGTTGTTCACAGCGCTGCTGCTCGCCCGTGCCTGGTCGACGCTTCCGCTGCGCAGGATATACCGTGGAAACCTCACATAGGTTTACGACTTCGGCTCGTCCAAACAGGAGACCAGCTCCTGACTAGAATCCTCGGCTTGCCCAGGAGGCTCCCCGCTGCCAATCGGCCACCCAGGTTTGCCACCCCTGGCTCCAAGGCCAGCCGCGCCAGAGCTGCCAGGGGGGAAGTCCGACTCAAGGCAGAGGCTAACAGGCAGATCCTTTTTTTCAGACGCTCACTCAAGGCTTTCAGGGCAATGACCCTGCAGAGCTGTCTACCAGTGCTGGTGAAACGTCCGATAGCGACGTGGCCGAATCCCAGCTCGCGGACAGTTCAGATGAAGAAGATCCTTGGGCTCACGAGAGCAGTTTCAGCCCACATGCGCCTGTCGCTGCCCCGAACATTGCCCGCGTCGAGACAGAAGACACGTCGCCAAGCCATGCAGTGGAGTGCCAGGTTTTACCTTCCGATCAGCAGCGCACTGCATCGCCCAACAGTGATTCTCACAGCGAACATGGTCATGTTGCTGCCTTTGCCTGTTCCGTCTACCGCCCCGATGGCGAGCCGCAACAACAGCATAAGGACGCTTTCTCTCTGCTTGTTTCTGCCTCTGTTGACAGTCAACCCGTTATCTCACGCAGTACAGTCAGACAGCCAAGTTTAACAGATAGTAATTTGACAGCCCAGCGTGAGAACCCCCCCCCCCCCCCCCCCCAAGCGACCCTGGCACAAGCCAGGGGGCCCAGCCTCCGTGCCGAACTCGAAGCCCCGAATTCGACATCAGCCCTGAGCTCTGGAGTGCCCACAGGCAACAAATCAGTGCCCTGCCGCCGCATGCTTCGCGGCCTGCTCTTGCTGCTGAGCCTAACATCGCCCTGCAGCTTGGGCAACTCTACGGTTCTTGGGTCACGACCGTCGAGACCTCCATTTGCGCACACCACCAAATCCCTTTCAGCGGAACCTCACGTGCCCAGGGACCGCAGTATCAGACCGAAGTTGTGCGAGGGCTGCAGTGTCGGCGCATCTCCCCGCTTGCAGACGGCAGCAGCACGTGGTGGGCCACGCTCCACACCCTGCTGCAGGGCATCTACAGGCACAGGGCACGAGGCAACGGCCACCTCCAGCTCCAGCAGCTGCGCCGAGGGACCGGAAGGCTGTGCGAATCGCCCCCCAGACAGGCCGCTCACGTCATACTCGACAAGGGCGGGTACAGCTGGACGCAGTGGCTCGATTTCCTCGGCAACATTCAGGAACACAGCCCCGAACAGGTCGTCGCTGGTGCAGTCAGAGCATCACGCCTAGCACGGCGGGCGCAGCAGCGGACCATACGACGGGCCATCCACAATTTTCGCGACTGGGCAGTTACCGACGACGCCATAGGTATATTACATCGCTCTTTACGACCCCAGCCACAACCCGCCGAGGTCACCATGGATCAAGGCACCACCATCATGCACCCCAAGGACCTGATCGACAGCAAGGTCGACACCTGGAGACGACTCTGGGCACCTGAGGGAGGCGCCAACATGTGCGGCCTGCAGGAGTGTTTCTACCGCATCGCCGAACGGATCCAGGAGTGCCCGCTGCCACCCATCACCAGTCATGAGGTGCGACAAGCCACCAAGCGCCTCAAGGCCAACACCGCCTTCGGAGCTGACCGACTTTGACCAGCCGACCTACTACGGCTACCAGACAACGCACTCAGCGAGCTCGCCGAGCTGTTCAACATCGCAGAGCACGTACAGAAGTGGCCTCATCAACTCCTTCACACCATCGGGGTCATGAGGGCCAAGAAGGACAACGGGGACAGGATACTCGGCATCATGACCATCATCGCTCGTCTTTGGTCCCTCATCAGGGAACCCTGCGTTCAGGCCTGGAACAGGGATTACTTCGCCCACTGGGACGCCATCGCCAAGG